TACCAAATCTACTAGCTCAGTGCTTCAGACAATAGTCACTTAAAAATTCATATGCTTCATGGTACATCATGTCATTACATGAATCCTAAGCCTACATTTAAACAAAATGTTGCACCAACGGTAACACAGACCAATGTGACATTAAATGCTCAGATACATTTGTACTTCTGAGAATCATGACTGGAATATTCGGGAACCAGAGTGTTACACATACTAAGATTATCAAAGAGAATAACTAACAGCTGTAAAGGGGAGGGGGAATTACATAAGAAATGAGGCAGTTAATGAATGGAATGGGGATATATAAAGGAAATGATACACAAGTCAAATACAATGGCTATGTGAATAAACAATGACAAAATAAGTATATGACAACTTGCCAGTCGATGAATAAAATTAATGATTTAAGGACATGGAGAATGAAGTGGTTGTGGCCTATGTTGAAGCACTTGTATTATCCCAGAATCTGCCTGTAGGACTGAGGAAAAACAGAAAAATCTCAGGAGAGACAGCCAGAAACCCAGCCAAGTTTCAAATAGGATTTTCAAACAGTGTTATCACCACATGAAACTGCTCTGACTGAGAAGATGAGTGGATAACATTGAAAGTATCTTTGCAAAATCCTGACTGAGATTTCTCCCCTGTCTTTCAATGAAAATACTGTAGTATAGGTCGCGTGAGAAGTTCTGGCACTTGTGCAAAGGACTGATTATGGTCGTACGAGATGGACCTATCCGAAGCACGTGCCAGAGGGGTGTCAGCTTCAGTTGGTTTGTAGCTCTAGCTGTGTTTAGATCAGTGTCACCGCAGCTGAGGCTGTGCGACCCCCACTACTACTGGACTCCCCTCTCTCAGCTTACACATCGCGCACTTAGGTGTCGCCACTACTCGTGCGACCTATACCTTAACTCAGTGGGCAAATGGCAGAGTTACTGACTGTTAAAGTAGATAGTATATACAGTTACCACTGAGTATTAAAGGATTAAATTAGGCCACATACACTTCCTTAAACATTTTGTCATGTTACTGTTCATTAATCATTCTATCCTATGACACTACATAATGTGAGTGAATAACAGAGCCACCAAATCTAAATAACTGAAAATAAGAAACTGATAGTAAGTATATGATATGGATTAAACTTGCTCAATGGCTTACTTTAGTATTGGCAATGTTGAACCTCCCTGGTTCTTTTACAAAAGGACCTATACAAATGCACAAACAGGCTAACTATACACACAAGTTCTATATCAAAGTTTAATAACAAGATTATTGGCTGAATCCAAAATTTGGTTTAAAAGTAGGCAGAGTTTCCATGATCACTTGTAATTAAAATTTGCAGAGTAATGAGTAAAATCCATTACTAAGTGCAACATAAACAACCTAGTGCTGATTTCTAAATTAACGTCAAATGTGCAGCAGGCAGATGGAACTAGCATGTACTCACATAAACTAGGATGAATGGCAAATAGCAAGTGACCTCAAATCAGATTTACCACAGCTGGGATTTATACACTACCCTATATCATGCACAATAGAAAACAGCATCATCTCTCATATCAACATACACACACTTAAACATTGCTGCAATCACAGTACTTTTCAACATACTGTATCACTACATATAGCATTCCAACCGTGGCTAACACTACACACATTTATATTTAATGAAATTTGCAAGGTTTTCAGCAATGGTTTATTTGTTACAGGAAAGCTATGTTTGATACTGTCCATTGCTTGAGGTGTAATTGAAATTAAAGATGTTTCAGGAGTTGGTTCTACTCCCATCTTCATGTTACTGCATGCACTACAGGAGTTCATTTAGTTTTCATTTCAAGTAATAAATGTTGTCACCTAAGAATGGGACTGAAACTGGTGTCTTGATTCCCACAAAACACATGAATTACTATGCCACCAAGTTTAACCATCAATTTCCTTCCCAGAGTGACGTGAACATGTAAAGTTTGAAACTCAGAAATCATCTTCTATGACAGGTTTGAATTACACAGATTTTGGCAAGTTCACATGCATCATAAGCCCCAATATTATGATGGACATTATAACTTATCTGTAGGATATTTAATATACACTATAATTCAAGAGTTGGCTTTGGGTGACTGGTTGTCATTATGATGTAATGCATAAAGATACTCTGCTGGCTGGTTTGGAGAAACTTTAGGAAAACAATTGAAGCAGAAAACCAAAATTCACACAGTAAAATGCCACTTTGTTCACCATAAATTACTGAACTGTCATGAGATAGGATTGAACTTGGACTTCAAATTATGGTATCAACTGCCTGGCAAAGTTGGATATTCTTTATAATAGATAGAAGTTTGCTGACCTTTATGGGTATTAAATATTCTTACAATTCCGTGAGTCTCTGCTTAGTAATCTTAAAACTTTGCATATCGTGTAGTATATTAGAATATAAAATAAGCATACAAACAAACTATTAACACTATAAAAAAGACACTAGTGCCAAATGGATGGCGCTAAAGCTCCGTGCCCATACCCGGCCACCAGAAGGCAAGGCCGTTACGCTGAAGCCCCGGCGAGTAGGACAGCACGGAAGGGTCCGGGTGCGAGCCCGCCTGTAGCCGCCGCCGGTGCAGATCTTGGTGGTGTCTTTTTATAGTGTTAATAGTTTGTTTGTTTGTTTGTTTGCTTATTTTATACTCTGCTTCCTACATTCCATGCATGCTAAATGCTATTCTTGTATTTGAATTTGTCCAAATCTCATCTATGTTGCACAAAATATTCCAGAAATAATAAAGTTTGAGACTAAATACAGATGTGTTAATGAACTTTAAAACTCTGGAGTCAGAACTCATCTGAATAATATTAAAAATTCAGTTCCTATCTCAAAGGAAATGCAATACTTCGTTACAAATTGGTTAATGCTGATTAAGAAAATAATCAATATTTATTCAATTAGGCTTTCCATGATTATGAACCCATACTGGAATGTGCAGTAGGAATGAAGATTATTTAATTTTCTAAGAACTGAGAATTCAAACTCTTGCTTGGCAGCAGGGCAGAATTTATTGGGTTGAATGGAAAGTTTTTGCATTTTATAACCCAACAAAACCATAAATTCAGAAGTTTACTGTCAACAATTGGACTGAGTAAAAGAATGCCTTAAGCAAAAACGTCCACATCTCATCAACATAAAAGGAGCTGTCTTTCACCAGGACAATGCTCATCCCCATGTCAGTTCAATGACGCAGAAAAAAATAAAGGAACTGAATTGGGAAATTTTAGACCACCCACCATATTCATCAGACTTGGCACCATCCGATTATCATTTATTCAGATCACTGCAAAACCACTTAAATAAAATGAGATTTGAAAGATTTGAATAGCATATTTTTAATCAAAACCAAGAAAAGTTTTTAGGCCAGAATGAAAAGCTTGTGACACATTGGGAGATAGTAATAGCAAGCAATGGAAATTATATAATTGATTACATATTGTAAATATATTTAAAAAAAAAACATTGTGACTTTTCATGTGAAAAATGCAAACGCTTCCCATTCAACCCAATAATATGGGATTTGAAAATTTATATGCATCATTCTACAAAAATATCTTCATTGTTTATATATCAATCTCAGCACAATAAATATAGCAGTTAGTGCCCCATGTTTCACAAATACATAAATTTTTGGCTAAATTCCATACACTTCTTGCTACATACAGCAGTGGGTCTCTTGTGAAGTAAGTGGTAATATGATTTCAAAATACAGCAACAAGAAACTGACAGGTTGTGAATTGTTGGAAATATTGGGATCTGTGGATTTGTTTAGCCAATTTTGTTCCCCACAAACTACTGCACATCTGCTTTTTTTTTTTTAAAAAAAGAGGGAAGTTTAGAGCAGTATTCTAAATCTTCACTTCTGTAAGAAGATGCAGGACCTTCAAGTGGGGTATCATCGAGCCCTCCCCCTCAATCAGTATCAACATACTGTTCTTCTACTGTTAAACAGATGTATTTCACAGATCCTGCCATAGTAACTGCAATTCACAGGTACATAAAAACTATGAGTAGAAAAACCAAAAAATAAGCATGTAGTATAAAAGAATCTGCCACTGAAAACTATAATCTGCTGTCAGAACTGAGGATCTCATGGCAATCAAAATATTGATGTTGTGTAGGCTCACAATGCCAATGTTTTGGAAAAACATACTGTCTCCATCTACAGGTTTCAGAAGAACATCAGACACAAGTTTCTTTGTCTATACAAAGGTATGACTGGAACTTTGCAGAGTATACCTCAAATCACTCAGCATGGTGTTAAAATGCGCTCCTCAATAAAATGTAGTGGGACTATAGATATATTGGACATTCAGCCACATGCAGGCCAATAAGGTGTCATTACTTCAACCTCAGACAGCCAATCTTTATTAATACCAACAGTTTTTATTTAGTATCACAAATAAAAGCTAGTGGTGTTAATACAGATTAAATAATTACAAGCTACACTAAGTGACAAGACACAATTCAAGATGTCTGAACATAACTGAATCAACAAGGAAATAACGATAAAGATTTCTTCCTTCATAGTTCTGTAAGCTAATGAGCTACTGCGATAATGAATTGCAGTAATATGATAAAGGTTGATAAATCACAAAATAAAAGAATCAATCTAAAATTTATGCAATGTGAATGATACTTAAAATTCTTACAGATAAAAATGAAATCAAACTGAATGTATACCTAATTCTAATACTATACTATTAATACTTCTTCTAGATTTGATATAATGCATAATGACATTCAAGACATTTTTACTGTTTTATATTGAATTTTGTAGATACTGAGCATGCCATGTACATGATATGAAACTACACATAACTTCTAAGGCTGGTTACACAGCTAAACTACAATACCTGAACATCTAGTCAGGCCTGATGCAACACACCACATCTTCCACACTCCTGGCAACAACCCTCTCCATCAAGTGAAGTCATATTAACAGCATAATCATAATCATTACCTGAGTTTACTGTGATCCACTGCAGAGGGCATTGGCTGCCACATCATTGCAGAGCCAACACGGACACCTTGACCAAAGTCTGATTTCTCCTGTAGGCACAACATGAAACAAACTGACACATCAGTCAAATATCATTCTTACTATGCTGCAAGCTACTGGAAGGCTTATGGAAGCAGACATGTGTAACAGAATGTCATGTGAACCGGTGTGTAACATCATGAAGCATCTTTGGTGCGAGAATAACAGACACCATTTCAAAGTTAGCTTAGTGAGATCTGAGGTTCTCAGAATGACATGTATGAAAATGGCTACCTTCTAGAATGCTGCACTGTGGAGTCTGGTAAATGTTGATTTGTGTTTCAGAGGAGCTTACTGCCTCCTTCAAGAGGATGATGGTGAAAGCAGTAAACTTCTCTGAAATGTCAGTGAACATATATCAGACTACTTCGAGCAACATCCTAGAAGACAGCCATAATCAAAATTGAGTTTATTTGAAAAATTAAATGTGCTGTAGAAAACAATTCCTTTCAAACACAGAATTCAAATGTTGGTTTCTTTATAAACAATTATTTTTACATCCATAACTTCATTAATTTTTTTATAATTTAAAATCTTGACAAAGGAGGGTAATTAATCAGCTGATGAACAGAAAAAATCTATGAGGTATAACTCACTATGCATATATCTGATAAAGTTTCAACATAAAATTAATTAGATTTCTACAATTGTTTTAGGGAAAACTTAATACAAACTAAAAAAGAAAAAGAAAAACACATAAATACACTGAAATTAATAAGAAGTGTGCTGATCCACATAACTGATAATAAAACTATATTAAGACATACTTTCCTGAGCATCACAGGATGTTTGTTCATATTTTTCTCAGCCAATCAACATGCAGTAATAACTATAGCTCTCCGTTTTTAAATACATTTCAGATATCTTCCTATAACTGTTTTCATTGTAGAAATTACTCTTTAATTAGTATGAAGTGTTTATAATAAAGCTGAAACAATTAACATGGCCCTGACGATGTATGCTATTCACAGTTCCAGTATAAAGACAACGTTCCAAGAATCACTCCCACAATTTAAGAGTTGAAAGAGTTTTCCCAGCATGGTGGGCAGACTAATCTCTGCCAGAATTACCAAAGTGGGATTATTACAATAAGTCTGATAACAAGTAGGAGTGAAAAGTGCACACAAACATCCATGCCATGTGTAAAATTCAGACTTTAAACCAAATAAATAATGGCTGTACATACATTCTGATGGCCATGATAGGCCAAAATACACACATAAATAACAAGTAAAGTTCCTTCAAAGCATCAACCCAAAGAACAAAGTCCACTTATGCCAAACTATATGTTGTTCATTAATATTAAGCTATTATGCCTTCAGGCCTAGCTATAAAGCAGTAAAATATGGATATACCTTAAGCATCTTCTTTTCCAATGTGAGTACCTCCATAACATAGCGGTAATCACGAGATACATGGTTCAGGTGCCTTGTTAATGTCACCATGGCACTTTCCACAAAGGCCCATGCAAATTTCACCATCAGCCATATGCGTTGTCCCACGCTCATTCTAACTACAATACAGAGACACAATACTGGGATAGTAACTCAAAGTAGGCCACAATCACATTCTTTTCCAATTCCACCATTCATTAAATGCTCCATCATCCAATGCTATATAGTATGAGTTACTCAAATAATCATTACATAAAATATAAAAAAAATTGCAACTCCATAGTATGACATGATAATATGAGAACCTCAAGTCTTACATGATAATATCACTAGATAGGCCATTAGGTGCATGTAAGATCATAACATTAACAGGTTATGTTCTAAAATTCTTATGACATAACAATGAAAGCCAAGCAGCAACTGTATGACTCTCAGTTGTTGATCCTTTCCAGACAGCTCTTTGGCCATTTAAATATGGTTGCCAGACTATGCTGGCTGGCTGACTGACTGACTGACTGACTGACTGACTGACTCTATGGTGCAACAGCCCAAAGCCGAGCCTTGGCCTCCTCCCATGTGGGAGGTTTCTTTGTCTTCCAAGTGTGCATTTATGAGTATTGAGTGACAGCACACTGCCTCTGCACAACTACTCAATCCTGATTTGTCTGCTAGAGCCACCTAGTAGTGAATCAGGAGACATGGGTGAGAAATGGCTGCTGAATTTTGCTTACGAAAATCTCGTTTATGCTCCGTAAGGTTCTTTTACATGTCATAAATCTACAATGTGGGACACATGGCTTTACATCCCCTCTGAAGGAAGCTGTGATACAAATTTTTATCGTCCTTAAAAATCCGACCTAGGCCGGATTTGAACCCGCAAACCTTGGGTCCAGAAGTGAGCATGCTCAGCACTTGTCCACCGAGGGCGACAGCCAGGATATGCACTGTGACTAAATTAATGACTCAATATGATTTTAAAGTGGGACCCAAGGGGATAACATCTATCACATGGAAATAGGGGATTTAAATACCTGTACTGAGGGGCTGTCAGCTGAACGTTAACTCCTGGATTAACAGTTTAGTGGTAAGTAAGTTGCAAAGTCAGTAACAGTATGTGTTACTATTATCAGCAAAATGGATGATCAGTTTAATTTTCAGGTCTCAATAAGGAAAGGAGATGAAGAAAACAGTGGGGGAAAATGCAAATATAGTCAAATTTAGGAAGAGTTCCTGATTTATGCATGAAAAGAAACAATGCTAAGCTAAGGAAGTGCTTTTCCTAATCTCCTCTTTAATTTCTTACTCATGAAATATATCTGAACAGACAACCAACCTTCTGTTTCCGAAGATGCATCTTTTGTGGTTGAGGCCCCATCTACTTCATCTGGTGGGTAATGTTGTGATGGGTAGCTCCCCTTGCTTCCTTCAGGAGAAGTTGGCACCATCTGTTGCAGAAATAATGTTAACAGAGTGTCAAACAAGATGAGACTGAACCACATTGTAGGTTGAGACTGAATACTAATTTGAATTTGGCATTTGCTGCCTTCCTGAATAAGTTCATCTGTGTGCATGACCAAAGTTAAGATCACTGTCACACCTGTAACATGAATTTGGAATCAAACTACTGGTCCTCTTCCTCTAATTGTTTTGTAATATTTTGGCTGGAATCTAGCAACAGTTTTGACAGTCGGCGGCAATCCTTTAATTTTCATAATACATACATACTAAAAATTACCAGAATCCATTGGTGAAAGTTTCTGAAAGTCTACTTTTGTTTGTATCTTTTGAAGATGATGCGATGTTTATTTTTATGGAAATTACATTCTGAATGTGTGGGGACCTAGAGATCTAGGGATAAGGCATCAAAATTCAATGTCCCAGGTCTCAGATTTGATACTGCCCATATCCAGCAAGGATTTTTCCTTTCAGTTCCCTTAGTCCTGAATCTGAAAGTGATGAATTATAGATGCTAAAATGAACTGACATCCATCTCTACTAGTCATCACACTAATGTAAGAATCTGCCTCACAAATTACCCCTACATCAAAAATGGCTTCCTTAATTATTAGTTGAGCAGATATCATTAAGGTCAAACAGACCATAGGCAGGGACATTAGCCATAACCAAATTTAATGTTTGGCAATACGGTGACTCTTATAAATAAACAAATGTGATATTATTGCATTTGAATGGAGGTTCATGAAATTCCAACGCCTTTTAATCAAGCTGTTGTTGGGAAAACTGTTTATCTTAATTTTTGGGAAGATCTTGAAAAAGTCACAATTATCTAACAAATCTTAAACAATATTAATGGGAAAATAAATTACAATTTGTACTTATGTTTTAGTCCTGACATGCAAATGGATTAACTATTTGTATAGTTACAGGTTATTATAAGATCCTGTACACTTTATGACCAGTTTGTGACATATATTTTGTAGCACAATTATTAGCCTATGAATTGACATATAATGTTCTGAACTATAAAGGAACAAAACATAAGCAAAACATCAAATATTAAGGTGATTTTAATGGTGAAACTTACAACATTAAGAAGCAAAGACTTAGAAGCAGCACAAGCAAAGAAATTAAAATCAGAAATAACAAGATAGAGATAGTAAAACTATTCACCATAATTGCACAATTAGATTGTTTTTCTGGAACTCACATTCTGTGTTCTATCAAATTCATAATATTTCTGTGAACATTTATAAAATGTGGACAATTATTTCACACACAGTTAACTTAATATTACTTAAAGCTTTCATGGTGACTGAGTTAAAAGAAATCTTCTCAGGTGATGAGCTATGCAAGCATGGCAATAGTACTAACATTTCAAAAACTGCCTTTGCCTCTTATCATCTGAGGTGAAATGATGAATGGCACGAATACTTGTTGTCTTTACACCCACAGATACGTAGTTCTTTGATCTCAGTGGCCTTGCCCATCAGCATACCAACAGGAGAAACATAGTGGAGAGAGGTAGTAAGTCATAACATAATCAATCCTGATGATGGAGGCAGAGACTGTCTCCAAAATGTTGGACATTAACTTCTTTCTCACAGTCACAATCACCAGTGAAAGTAATCAAAGTGAATTTCATAATTCCACAATAATTATAATAGACAGTGCACATTTTCTGAAATACATTTAATACACACAATATTTGGAAGGTGGCTCCACTTCTATCTTTATATGATAGATTGTCATCATCCTGACAGATATCTTTTATTGCTTTTATTTTTTGAATTAGGTTCACAACCAGGATCAAGCCAAAACTCCTTTGAAAATAAAATTATATATATATATCAACAAAAAATAACAATAAAACATGCCAGAATAATGACTGCAGTACCCTGAGGATGGGAACAGAGCTAACTCCTGAAATGTTATTTTTTAAACATATCTCAGATACTGGACAATGTGCTAACTGCTGTGTGAAGAATCTTTCAGCTGCAAACTTTCTAAGAAATAATGAATCTGACTGTGCTATCTTTCCTGCCAGTACACTTGTTTTCATGAAAGTATTTGATTCGTATATCTACTGCATGTATAGCCACATGCATTACTCTAAGTTTTATGCAGGCTCAGTTCATTGAAACACAGGGCACCAGGAATTTGTTGTAGGTATAAAAATATACAGGTGAAGTGGAAGCAAAGCCATATGCATGCTTACTTAACCTTGAATCAATATGGAGGTTAGTAGTTCACAGCCGATTCAACTACAGAAAAAAACACTGGTACACACCCTTTGGGTAAGAGGGTGGGTGGTCCCTAGAGATGTGCTAGACATGACAGTGGGAGGAGAGAAGAAGAACCAAGGGCCCTGCCAAGAATCATGTATTGGCCACTCAGCCTGTAAGCCTGATGAATTGTCACGAGTCTAAATGAGAGTTAGTTAACCTAATTAAACAGTTAATTATTTTGCATATGATATTTATATCTTTACCAGACTTTATCAGAACACTAACGAGCAATTTTTTAAAACTGAAGGTGTAGAATACACGAATAATAAAACTGCTATACGACTTACTGTAACATCTGAACAGAATAATCATCTTACATTCTCTTAAAAAATGGATGCAGAGGCAATACATGAAAGAGATAAGTGGCTAATAATGTAAATAAAAGGCAGAAGGAAGTATAGATGAATAACAAAAAGAAAGAGCATAAACAAGAAACTGAAATCCAAACATAATTAACAGATGAAAGCAAAGGAAGTTGCAAGAGAAATGATGTATGAATGAACAGAAAGCAGAAACAGAAACAAATGACTCACATAGTCACTATGTAAAGAAGGACTGCCTGCTTGTGCTTGGGGTGCAATCTCTGTCTCACATGTGAAGAAGGATGATTTATTTCGTGTCAGTTTGACAGAAGACCGTCGACCACCATCAGCAACGCCTTCACCTGTTGTACCCTTTGTAAGAGCCAATTCTGCTGCTTGTTCCATGTCAGTCTTGAAAGCTGTGTCCAGGAACTGACAAGGCCATAATATTTTAGAAGAAATGACAGTACCACATTCAAATTTGTCCTCTACTAATGTACAACATCAAATTGTCTTGTCTTCAAATGAATGCTTATAACGGATACCACCTCTTTGTACTTTCAAAAATATCTGTTCAAAGGGACAAGTATGACATTATATTATCACAACCCTATCCTGTGTGCACTCCCACTTCATTTGTAAATTAATTGACTATTGTCAAACCAGTAGAGGATAGAAAATTCAAAATACAATAACTTAAAGCATTATACAGAACATAATTTTAACTGATTATAATTTTATAACACATGCAGTTGTCTAGAAAATCAGGAGGAAGTTTAAACTATTGATTAAGATAGTAACACAAAAATGTATCTTTCAGGCATGATATGAATCAAATAAAAACACTGGCAAAGAAAACACCAAGAATATAAATTTATCTTTTATCGATGGTAGAAATAATTATGGAAAGTATTATGTTATTAAGAACATTAGTATACAACTTATTTAATATAGCAGTGTTTCAGTACTTCATACTGGTACTGCCATGACCAAAAACCATGACTAGGGCTTCCAAAATGTGGTCCCTTCAGGATACATAAAACGTTTCAGGGGGGTTACTGAAAAAAATAATTATGGTGGATGTTTAATTAACCAGTATTATTTTAAGTAAAATTCACATAGAAACTAAACTTATGTTAATTATTTATTGCCTGTTACAGAAGGATGTTATACTTCACAGACTGTTCCAATTGCACTGTTGAGATACAATTCATTAACTTCTTCTCACTTCAGAAAATGTATTTGTAAAATACCATTCAGTAGGTCAGGATTGGTTAAGAGCAGGACCTTTCTATAAGGAAAACAAGAACATGTCAGACCAACACATTCAAAATAAGACAAAAAAAAATTTAAGAGAGGATTCACATTCTGATTCTTGATGAGAAAGGTTCGCGGAGATCACTCCATGGAAAGTACTGCTGCAGATTAACTCACAGTTCTTGTACCATAAACAAACCTCCATAATAAAGATGTTTACCTTACTGAGTGTAACTCTCCTCTCACCATGTCTGCCACCTTCATCATCCGATGATGTTTCATCCTTCTCTTCCAGTACACCATCATCCAGCTCTTCAAACATGTAGTAGTCACCAGAGCGAATAGCTGAAAACATCCAGGACAAAGGTGTCATGAAATTTCAAGCTAAAGGAGTTTCCCAAATGTCAGTTTGTATTTTATTTCCATGAAGTTAAGATCATTTCCTTCTAATGTTAGAGAATTTAAATTATGTCAAAAAAAAACATTTACTGGAACTCATGAAAGTTACTTTTAAATTTCTTTATATTTCTTTGTACAATAATATAAAATAAAAGTCACTTAAATGTTCCACATTTAACATACTATATTACCTCATACAGATGCTCATAATTTCCATAAGTTGTTCAGTCAGGTGGCATGCATGATCTGAGAGATCAAGTGCAATTCTTATGATGCTATATTACCAACCAATTCAAGATCCTAAAATTTTTTGCACCGTCTCCAAGCGTACCAACAGGAGCTTCAGACTTATACAGTATCTTCCAAACTGAATGTCAGCCTGTTATAATGTTTTACTGTAAATGATAACTAAAATGGCATAAAATGTATTTTAACTTTTTTGTTTAATTTTTCAACCAAATAATAATGATCATTATAGTTTATCTGTTTATAAGACAGAATATCAATATTTGAGTACCTTCTTCTATCTATAATTTCTTCCTGAGCTAAGAACACAAGATCTTGTTAAGAAATACTGGTTTCTTCTGGTCTGAATAGCTTCTGCAACTGTCAGTTATAATACCATATGGACTTACAGGTGGATACCAATATTTCACAGAAACATACTTCCTCCATCTTCAGCCCAAAGAAAATTAGAATCTACCTGGAAGTCCACATAGCATTACAACCTAGAAGACCACAAATACTATCTTCACTGTTGTTATAACCTAAAATATCATATAGCTTCTATATGTGATTATGTAAGTGTACATAAGCTCTTTTGTCATCTGCTGACAGTCCAGCCCAATAATTCATGGCTTATCAACAATAAAAATGGGCAAATAAAGAGAAACATCTGTTTTCGTAACATAACTGAACAACAGGTTAAAATAAAACTAACATGACAATTTCAAAATATCATCTGACCCGAAAGTTGAACAAAACAGTGGTTCCTTAATTTACTTTTGTTCTATAATTTTTCACACACAAAGTAATAGCAATTAAATGACTTTTACTAAATTTTTATCACCTTATTCACCACACATGCAAAATGTTACAAAACACAGGACAAGCAAGTCTGGTTAAAATCACATTTACACATATATTTACAAATATAAAATATTTACACTAGAGTTTATATGATAATAATATCATTTAGTCCTGAAAACAGAGGACATTAGTTTCCAAATAAATTTCTGTAAGGGACAAAGATACAGGTTACAGCAATAGTATGCACAGCAGTGTCACGGGGGTTTAAAATTAAACTGGTAGTTATATTTAAAATCCACAACCACAGGTTAAAGGGCATGTAGGCAGAGAAAAATATCTAAAACATTAAATCACATACATACAGAAAGATACAATACACATACGTGACTGAATTTTTTATAATCATTACTTCCTAACTCATATATTCTTTTATAAAATCAAAGTTAGCACTGAATAACTGAGCAAAATAAAAAAGAATTGTATGTATATTGTAAAATTCCATATGCAAACAAGACTATACATAGCATAGGACCTCACATTCTCACAGTGTTAATACCACACTCTCCACTGAAGCCTTGTAAGTTTATAAAAGGATGGTTTCCTTAAGTTTTGTCTTGTGAAGCAGTGTCATTCTACAGAAGCAAGCCACAGAAATATACATATGCAGTTATATTAATACTCATACATGTTAAATGAAGAATCAGTCTTGGTCCTTCAACAGAAATGTTATATATGAATATGTACAAAGAAAAGTTAAAATAAATGAGAGATTTACCAAGCCAGATTCAAATATAACTTGTCATTTAGACAGCAAAAGACACCACCAATGAAATAAAGCAGTTATAAAGCTGAGGAACACAAAAGAAGTGAATAGTGTAATAACTGTAATACAAAATAACACTTAAAAATAAAATCTATGTGACTCAGAAACAACCTGTTCAACCTTATCTAAACTTCAAAGAATTCCTCAGCGTAAGGATATTTACAGAAATGGCATAAATTCCAGTCCAATTCTGTATAACAATATACAAAAATACTTTTAAAGCTTTGTAAAAAGATATAGAAATGTAAATATAACAACAAAAATCAATATTATAAAAATTTATCACATTTGGGAAAGTTTTGGAAGGTATATTTATTGTTTTATGAAAAAAGAGTGTCAATATTGTATACCAGTGTATACTGCTAGAAAATTGCATTACTAATATCAAACTTCATTAGAATCTGACCAAGTTCCAGAACACATGTGATATTAAAGTTAGACATATATACTGAACATCCAATTACAGAACCAAAAACAATCAAATGTTAAAGAACATATCTGAAGTAATTTGTGTCATACTGATATCCATCTGGCTTGGTCCATCACACTCTGACAAGGACAGCCACCAGAGTTGCCATGTACAGCTGAAAGAGTTGATGTAACAGACAAATATACTTGTGAGGGATATGCCTTGGAAATGTATGCAACTGGAATATTAAGCTATTACACAGCTGTATAGCAACACACAATGGGCTTCATTACTATGTTATTTACCAATTGCAAAGCACTGAAGCACAGCCTAAATGTGAATAACAGTACAGATGTGATGCAATACACAAAATATTTCATTTCAACTGTAAGAACCTGTAATGCCATTACAGTTCCTAGTCAACAAATGGAGCTCCTGTTATTTAAGACTTTAATGTGGGTAATGAAGCAGAATAGAACATTCACATAGCTACTACCATGCTATATATAGTACAACATTGTGCTTTACAGGCAGTTAAATCAAACTGGTGTCCTAAATGTGGTATCTGTTGCATGTGATTACTAGATGTGGGTGAGTGGTCAGTGTCACGCCCCAGCTACGCTTTACCTCCAGGAAAGGACCCCGGTAACTATTGGATAGAAGGCTGGGTGGGCCCCAGGGCCAGTCTGGATGCAGAAGCTAGAGGAAAAATCCTCTAACCCCATCAGGTCATCCAGTTCGTAGCCACTCACTATACTGACTGAGATATCCCAGCTCCCCTTAGAAATAAGTCATGAGGAAAATTAAGGTGGAAAATTATGTCCCATTGACTTCAAGAGGGTAAGATACTATCATGGTGCTCTGTACACAGGATTCACATCAACATCAACATCCACATAAGCCATGTGTTGTTCAACCACAAGGCAGGGTGAAGTCTGATGAAGTAGATACTTCAACATTCACAGTAAATGATGAAAAGGGTTTCACACTGCTGTATGCTGTTCAAGTGACAAAGCATGTTACCATCTACTTCATCCAATCATATTGAAACAAATAAAGGGTAACTCAAAAGTAGCTAAACACTTTTGAATGCATGTAAAAGTTTACTATTATAATACAGAACAAAGTCATTAATACTGTGAGATAGATAGATAGATAACCTCTAATTTTAGTGGCTGTATTCTGATTATATAATTTCAATACGGCTACACCAGTGATACATTCCAGCTATCACAATATCTTGCCATACCTTTTGCAACATGTCTAGTGTATATGTTGCAATCAGTGCAGTAATCTTATTCTTTAGTTTATGAAGATGAGTTGGTGATGGTGGCTGGTAAACATGATCTTCAATGAATCTCCAGAGGAAAAAATCCATCAGCATGTAAAGGTCTGGTCAACAAGGAGGAAATTAAATTTGAGCTGCTCACCTCCAGTTCCGCAGATCTGGGAACTTAAGATCCAAACAATCTTGCATGTCTGTGCAGAAGTTAGGTAATGCAGATCTTACTGGAAGACCACATTTCTGTGGGGACTAGGAAGTTCTCTAGCATTTCTAGGTACACAGTACCAGTGATGGTCTTTTCAACAAAAAGAAACAGGCCATAAGTTTTTGAGCAATGCAGAGCACAAAACACACCAACTTTGTGGCTGTCCCATGTGGGAAGAATAGAGTTCACTCTTCCTGAGACTCAAAAAGCACACTATCATTAAAAATGAAACAGTCAAGCAGACCTTTATCTTCTTCAAACACAGACCACATGTCCTCACAGAATGTCCTACAAATGATCTTGTTTTCAGCTGTGATGGCTTGACATCTGCAGTTACTAGGACTCATTATACAACCTCTCAAGCAAATTCTCCACACTGTGATACAAGACTTTCTTGACTGGTATGATACTTTGATTTCCTTGGGCTTCCATCAAGACAAGACAAGACAAGACAAGAGAAGACTCATTCTCAATTGTTCAACAGTTTTGTTATTCACTGTTGGCTTGTCACTCTCCCTACTGTACCTCCCAAACAAACTTCTTCAAAAGGTGCCAGAAGTAGCAAAAATTGGCTCTAACAGATGAGAGGAAAGGACAAGTTTCAGATCCATCTATTTCTGCTATTCCTCACCAATTTTTACTACAGTTAACACAATTACAAAAGTGAAAAGCTACCACTGACTTACCCTGTATATTGCTCCTACTTTCATTCATGAAAAATGTAATTTTAAACATGTCCTACAAGTTGTGAGTTGCAGTAGGTATTGAAGTGCTATAGTCTTCCAATAAATATTTTTAATAAAAGACTTACAAAATGGAGCAACAGACTATTATTGACAAAGATTTTATGTCAGTCATTCTCAGTGTTTCACAGAATATAAATGTGAAATGGAGTTATAAAAAAAAACAGATTCATTAAAATGTGGCATAAGCCTTCCAGAGCTTATTGATTGAATACTGGTAATTCTGTTCATTTAACTACAGGATGTTTGGAAATTGTATCAGCAAAACAGTTAATTTACCATACAAAAATGTAACCAGACAATGCCACACTGGTTATTCTGTCATATTTGTAGTGAATGGTGAATGTGATTAAAACAATCCTAATGCTGTGTTACAAAATGCAATTATTCTACACACCATACTTCAGTTAAGCTTCATAAATATTTTATATATTCAGTTGCTGTCTTAGCTGCAATAAAGTAGGTATTATGTTAATACACAAGCAGCTAGTCATGGTATAAACTTGCAACTGAAAATTAGATAAGAATAATAAGAACAAGACACACAAAGCAGAGTTCAAATCAGTGTTAAAAATACTACAGTCAGCTGAGCAAATACAAATCTTACTTTACCGCAATACTTCCATTTTTCAGAAAGTGTCAGCAAATAACTTGTAACTCAGGATTTTATCGAAGACTGATTTGGGAACTCTAGCAAATACCTGCATGAAGTACAGACCTTTCACTGTATGTTATACCTTTGTTTCGTGTGGGTCCACATATATACAATGCATATCTGAACAAGACGTAATGTAATTTTAACTCCTGCATGCTAGAAAGAAGGTTCAACATGTTTATCTAGAGAAGTTATGTAAAAAGTTTCTCAGATTATGTCAACTTTATTTCAGAAACTATTTACCCAACCCTTTTAAGAATTTATTAACAGTTTATGGCACTGGCATATAAATTAAAGTTTGTATTAGCCCTATCCATAAGTCCAAGAAGGAAAAACAACTTCCTTGTATAGTTTTCAATACTCACAAAAGATTCATTCTTAATAAAAGAGAACTTAAATTATAACTGTGATGAAAAGTCATTATTGTTGCATTAAACATGCATAAAATAAATATTAACTCAAAGATTCACAACATCTGCTTTCAGTAATGCAGAGTTAAGGAAGTGTACACTTATCACATAACACAAATTATTATTTCACATTATATCTTGTATCTCAAAAACAGCCCAAGAAATGCATTTAACCAACAATAGTTATTCAATCTAGATATAGAACCCCCAATCACCATGTGGTGCAGCCTTCAAGTAGTCTAGCTGGCTGTATCTCAGTAGCACATAACTACACTGCTAAACCCCAGAGTTAAGTCCAGCCACCTAGTCAATAGTAAGGGGTCTTGTACCCTTTTCAATAACAATTTAGAATTTGGTGGCAAATCAACTACTACTAGTTACAAAAATGTATTTTTTCATAACTATTTCTTGTCTACCAAATGTTTAATGGAATATAAGTAAACATTTATTTAAGTACAGTCCAAATTAGACACTAAAGTTAAAAAATGTAATTTTATTTTAACTTTGAATTGTAGAAAAAGTCCCACATAAAAAATTTGTTCAGACTCCTTTCAGCATCTAAACAGATAAATGAACAGACATGATATACCAATTTGGCATGTGTTTATGTGTTTTGTTTTAACATCCAAATGTGGCAGTAAATTTGCAGTAATTCCCAAAACAATCTCTTCTAAAAACATACTCAAATTAAAACAGATTAAAATAATTATTATATTTGTTTACCGTCAAATCACAATAAAATAGTAAGATAAGATAATTAAAATGATTAAAATATCATCTTATGTTCCATATCGAGCATTCGATTTACATCGGAACATTCACAACATGTTTTGGTTTATCAAACCGTCATCAGGTAATTGTAAAAACTATAAATAATTGTAATTTGAGTTTAAAAGTTTATAATTTACACCTGATGATGGTTTGATAAACCGAAACATGTTGTGAATGTTCCGATGTAAATCGAATGCTCGATATGGAACATAAGATGATATTTTAATCATTTTAATTATCTTATCTTACTATTTTATTGTGATTTGACGGTAAACAAATATAATAATTATTTTAATTAATATCACAATATGACGCAGCTATACTATCTCATAAAACAGATTAGTAAATGAACTGCATAATAATATAATTATATTTTGCAGTGGGCTTTATTAGTTATTATTGGAAAGGTTAATTCATCACACTCTTTTAATATATAAAACTATAGGAAATCACTGTTAAAATATGATAAATATATAATGCTATGCCAATAACTAAGATAAGAAAAAAATTATTTAAAGACAAGCCCTAGCAGCCTTCCACCAAAGCTAACTCATTTCTGGGCAAAGGTTTTTACAAACAGTGTATTACCATCACGATTTGTTCTTGCACGTCGATGAACAGACCCAGGAGTTGCTGAAAGTGTGAACCAAAAATAAAAGAAGCCACTTTCAGAACACAAGACAAATAAAAACAATAAACAAAAGTTAAATAAGGAACTTAAAATATATATTAACTTACATACTAGAGTACAAGACAAAACAACTTCAACACTTTATATTCCTCCAAAAGTAATGATAAAAATAAGAAAACAACATAATTACTTATGCTTCTCAGTAGGACAAAGAGTTTGTGCAAGGTAATGACCAAATTCTGTCGAGAAAATTAAATATAACTTTCAGAAATATTCAGTCAAAGAACTTAATCTGGGATGTGTACAAAGCAAACACGATAGAATCAGCAGTGAAAGTTTTGTTGGCCTGGCCTGGCGCTTTCATACTCAAACACTTATGTACAAAGGCAGCTACAGTATCACAATGCTATGAACTATTGGTGAAACTACAGAGTGGGCTGGTGGTCAGAATGCAGTGTGAGTGGTGCCATTAATATGCAAGCAAGGTGAGGTCTCATTACATGTGTGATGGGACTGCGGCGATGACAGAGAAACAGAGGGGCGTGGGGTGGCGAGCGGATTCATCCAGGGGGGACCAATGGATGACTGACGTCGATGACCGCCACCCAAACTGCTACCAGCTGTGCTGTGCCCCACCACAGCACCGTATGGCGGTGGGGAGAACACGGGGAAGCTGTCCATATCGAGCGAGGGCGCACGGGGTACCAGCTCGGAGGTGGGGGGTGAGCTAATTGACATGCGCTGTGGCTCCAGGTAACCATCCAATGATACTGTCATGATGGCAGAACTAGGTGTTGGTGCTTGCAGTAGTGAGCCTGCCCCACGTGGCGTGAGGGGAGGGAGGTTGCCTTCTTCCTCGTCGTCATCAATAGGGGTATGATAGCCTTGGGGGGATGCAGGGGAACTCATGCTGGAGGACTGGGCCAGAGGGGCTGCTGTTAAAAGACAGATCCTAGTTAGTTGCATGATGGGAAGTGTAACAACTGAATTGACATCACTCTTAACATGGGACAATATGAAGGAACTGATGAAGCAAGTCTTATACACTCCAGCAATGAGGTGTACATGTTGTGAACACGGGAGATGTAACATAGATGGCTGAGGTTAGTGTACACTGAAACACATAATTTATTAGAAACAGAGCCACTGAAATGGTACATGTAAAAAAATGAATTATCACCATTAAATGATGCTGCAATAAAAATATGCAATAAGGAAGGAACAAGCAATTACAAAGTGCACACAAAAGTGTGACACTATCAGGACTCTGAAGGCTTCAAAATGTGTCACAGAACAGGGAACAAAGCTAATCACATGAAAACATTTGAACCATGTACAAAAACGTCACAAGAGAAAATGTTTCTATGATATTCTATTTATGACAGTTCTAAAATTATTTTTGTCACTACTCAGAGATTAGACATTTACCACCAGGTTTATATGTTAAAGGAATTGCAATCTCCTAAAGTGACAACAGTAAAAGTTATGCTAACTGACTTCATCTTTTTCAAAATGGTGTTTAACACAAGAAAAAAGATATATAACCACACTAAAACCTGAAACATGTTATTTTCATTACATCAAGACATGAAAGGGATGCCAATGCAAACATTTCTGGAAAAGTTAGTGTTACTTTCCTTTACTTGCATCTTCACTATTGAGACTATGTAAAGGATGGCAAAAACTAGTACCATGGATCATTTATATGAACATATCAACTATACTGAGATAGAAGAGCATTATATATCATTCAAATATAGTTAAAATCACACAGCTGGCTCTGGAATTACTTTCAATTGGCCAGTGATAACATTTTTTCCGCATTACTTTCCCAACTTTATGTACGCACACTCCATGTATGCTTTCATTCAGTAATCAAAATTAAACAAAAACCAACGAGATTTTTCTTTCATTTGCCAATTTTGCAAATCACAAATAGGAGAAAATATCTGAGTTCTCTGTTCACTTTATTTTATTACTAGACTCTTTAACAAAGTGTCATCTTATGTGAAACAAGACATGTTTATGAACTCACCATGTCCTTTATATATTTACTGCCATTTTTATCCAGCATTGAACATCCATGTTCCACTACCAACACATCAGTTTATGTATAAATTCATTTTTACTTATAAAAATTGCCTTCCAAGCCTTCAAATTCCTAAACAGACATCATAATTGAAGGACTTTAAAGAAACAATATAGACATAGCCTCTTGCACCACCTACTGGAAGTACACAGAAACAATTTCAACATGCATCACATGTGCTGGCAAATATGTCTCCTTTGGAGACATATTTCCTGTGGCATGCACAATGACAGTGCTTTTGCCAAGCACTTCTGATGAAACTACACTGATGTGCCAAGTAACAACAAGAAAGAATCTTTAAACAATGATTTCCAGCTCTCGGAGCTTATCACATAGAAAATGTTCAATACAATTCAGTACTTGTAAGAGGAAATAGAAAGATTAACTGTAAAAATCTTTGCATGACAAAATAACATGGAAATATCCCTCAAAACTGTATCTGAAAACTTGTAAATTATTATTCACACAATTAAGTGAATAATTCTTCTTCTTCTTATTCTTCTTCTTGGTGACAATCCTTCTGCACTAACGTAATTTAAATGACAAACTTTGGCGACTGTTTTCAGAATTAAATGACAAACTTTGGTGATTGTTCCCACAAACAACTTTGCCGAGGAAACGCTTTGCAGTAGAGGTGAACTGTTGCCACAGCCACACAATGTAACTATTTAAAACAGTAGCTTCACATTTACCACAGTAGTGACTACAACTCTGTATGAGAACAGCCATTCTATTTATTCATAGAAGGAAAATGTTCTATAAAAAATAAACACTTCTCTGCAAATATTATTACATTATACAACAAGAGACACAGCAGTATTTAATTGACATTCTTTTTTGAGCATCAATGCATTAGAAAACAATTCACATCTCCTTTAGCAAAACATTTTTCATCATGAATAGGTCATGGACAGCCATATTTTAGTAAACACAAAATATTAGATTTTGTACACAAAAACAATCAAGTAGATAACACAATATATTTATGTTTTTAAGCGTTCAATGCATAACATTTGAAATGCTTAATCATTCACAAGTTTTCAACGTTAGTAACTATACTAGCACTCTGTATGGATAAATGAATATTGTGGAAGACTGCTGTCCAGCTTTAACTAAAAGGCAAGTCGATAATTCAAATAGTCACTCTTTAAATCAAGTGATTGGAGTTAGACCCCTAGCATGGAAATTTGTTATTACCTGTCCAGTCAACAAGAGATGGACCCAAGATCTGAAAAATTATTCACAATATACAAGCTATTCTTACTACAATAAAATAGCAAATCTTGGGTGCCTTCAAATGGCAAATTTTCTTCCAAGGTCATTCCATATCACCTACATGAAATAATTTGGATGTGACAAATGTGGTACGAGATTTTAATAAATTACTTTCATGTGAGGTGAGCAATGTTATATAGAAAATAACTAAAGTAACAAATTCCCTGGTAGTAGAACCCACAGGTTCAACACCGACAACACCAAAGCCCGCCACTGAACATTATCCTGAGCCAACTCCATTTGTTATTCACCTTCCTGAGATCCATCTTGATGTTACCCTCCCATCTCCTTCTTGGTCTGCCCAGTGGTCATTTTCCAGAACGAAGCCCTACCAAAATCCTGTATGCACCCACTGCCCCCATGTGTGCTACAAGTCCAGCCCATCAGAGTCTCCTAGATTTCACTATCCTCACTATGCTGGGTGACCCATAGAATTCACGCAGCTCCAGGTTATGCAATATTCTAAATTCCCTACTTATTTCACCCCCACTAGGTCTAAATATCCTCCTGAGCACCCTGTTTTCAAACACTTGTAATCTACGTTCTTCCTTCAAGGTAAGAGACCATGTTTCACAACCATGCAAGACAACCGGCAAAATTATTGTTTTATATATCCTGATCTTCAATGTTTTGAATAGTAAAACATTTGATAACAGTTTTTGAAGTGACTAAAAACAAGTGTTAATAGAAAGAACAGTACATATTATTTAGAAGGACTCTAGGTTCTGAAATACTTTTGCACTTCTTGTCAGCAGTAGTTTCTGTCACACAGAATAAATTGTTTTTAACACATGAATAGGAGACCTGAAGGGAAAAAATATTACTAAGTTTAGGCCTGAGCTGGAAATCTTCAATTTATAAGTTTACTGCCTTCAATTTAAAAATAGTAATTTTGTTTTCAAACAACATTTATAAAATAGCAAGTGGCTTTATTTCTACAATAAAAACTTACTGTGTATGATTATAACTGCTGTAATACTACAAAATATTAATTCAAGTGGACTCACCAGCATGGTGACTCTCAGGTTCCTTAAACATGGGTCCCTGAGTCTTCTGTTGGGTTGCCTTAATTCGATCCATCTTCACTCTGATCTTGTCAAGAATGCAATGTTCCTGATTCTCTTGTTCTCGTATCCGCTTCATCCGTAGTTCCTCAATCAACTCGGCACCCCTATGTCAGACACTTAAGTAACACTTTGCCATACATATTACATTACTTTATATGAACAGTAGTCTCGTAGCCTTCTGGCAATTCCTAGATTTACAGATTTGTTAAAAACTATTTGTAACTATACTCATTATTTGTTAAAATCAAGGTAAATTAGGTGTTCAGGAAGTTTACATTTCCCAGTCCAATCAGCTATCATTTTGTTCTTTAGTTTATATTTGCAGATGCCTTTTAGTCCTACAACTATTTTCAGTATACAGGTAAACCTCGATTTGCGCCGGTTCAGAACACCACCACTTTTGAAACCAGCAAATCAAAAAGTTAAAAAAATACTATTATTTATAACGTTTTACAATGTTTCTCGTACTGATTCTTATACTAAATCGTAATTTTTACATCGCTGATTTTGAATAAAAATTATAAATACAGTCACCTCTGCACTCATTGCTAAGTAGTTGCGAGATAATCTCCTAAAAATCTGCCAACATTGCGCAACAGTCACGTGAGCATTGGTCACTCTTCACAGTGAGTCATTTGCTTTCGGCCTGATAAGGGAGTAAGGAAAAATGCGCTCAGTTTGCTTCTTGTTGACACATTGAATGTGCTGAAAACTGTGTGCTAAACGTGTTTGTATTGTTGTTCAACCACTATTCTGCAGTAGCAACTGTTTTATATTTATAAATTATAGAAGAGCCACCATGGCTGGTAAGAGAAGTGAATGTGTTGCTAAAAACTTGAGTAGGTCTATTTGGTTAGAAGATAAGATGGACGTAATTCGTAGAATAGAAGGTGGTGATACCCGTCGTAATGTGTGCAGAAGTATGAAGTTGCCTCCTTCCACTGTGAATATCATAAAAAAATTCATATAAAATAAAACAGTCAATGCAACAGGCTACGAGAGTAAGTGCAACGCAAGTGAGTTATAGCAGAGGTAAACTTTTAGAAAGAATGGAGAAATTACTGTTGCTATGGGTGGATGACATGAATCGAAAAAACATTCCTTTGACTGAAATTGCTATCACGGATACGGCAAAGTCAGTTTTTGAGGAATTTAAGGGCGGCCGCACAAGACAAGCATCAAGACATGACACAAAAGACACATTCTTTCTTCATTCGTGATTCAGACTCGAGTCCGCACACTGAAGCAGCACGCGTCTGCGTCTTATCACATCTTCTCTAGTTGATAACATGACGTCGTCCAGTGAGGAAGATATTTTAATGTACATGTGGCTGAAAGTATGTAAAGGAAGGAAAAGGAAGTGAATTCATGACTTTAATGAGTCGTGTGCTCAACATGGTGCGCACGCTTTAGCGCGCGACTTGTTAAACGATCCGGTGAAATTCCAGTCTTATTATCGAATGTCCCCAGAATCCATTTGTGTTCTTACTTTTTGAAACCAAATGTAGCTCTTCATTAGCAGAACAAGTTCACTTTAACATAAATCTTTTCGTTTTATGTGTGAGTGAGAGCAGACTTGTTAATTCAGTCATTAGCTCATTAAAATAAAATTAATCAGTGCACTTACCATCTACATTTACTTCTTTTGAAACTGCATGCCAAGCTTTATCAACCTCCTCCTTGTTTGAGTGGCCCAGGGTCGAATAATCGTATATTACCAGGAATTTCTCATCCATCTGCACTATCTTATATTTGTTTACTCTTCACTCATGTCGATAACGTACACTGGTGCTGTTACTTGAGTACTGATGTCTCAGTCCTGAAGCACAGAAAAGGAACACGCCGAGTCTCGCTGCACGTGTCTGCAGCATGAAGCGGTTTTCATAATCTCAGTCGTTTCAACTGTGCTCCTTTCTTTGCGTCATGTCGTAGACATCGTGTCTTGACTGTTACATGTCTTGACGCATGCCGGTGTGCTGCCTACCTAAGTTGTCAATGTTTGGGTGCCGGGAACGCATGTCATTGACTTCTCATTGATTTACATTATAAAAAGAGTTTCAATTTACGCCAGTTCATCCAGGAACGCATCCCCGGCGTAAATCGAGGTTTACCTGTATCTGTGTAATGTATAACTTTGGCTCTGGGGATAAGCCACATCGGATGCTGTAGGTTTTACAACATTTTGTCAACAGTGCAGTCACCATCTTCAGGGTGAATGTGTATTGGGAGTTTCATGTAGCCTTATATGAACCAGGCAGGAAGTGGTGAGTGGAATGTGAAGGACCTCACTGACATAACATGTGAGTCGGCTGCTATCCACATGGTAACAAATACGTTGTTAAGGAAAACAGGTCACGAAAAAGATTTTTTTAAAGCCACATAGTAAGGAGAAAAGACAATGAAACACATTTTCATGACCATGTAAATTAGGAAAGGAGATGATGCTGGCTAATGTCTAGGTACTTTGTTACTTTACTTTATAACTGTGTTACTCATGTGAAGTCTGCAGTGTCCCATAAAATATTGTCATTATGTATGATTCATTACCACCACATGTTCATCAATAGTGAGCCATACATAATGCCATAATACTTTAAAGGACACTGCACACCTCACATAAATAACACAGTTTTTCATTTAGTGAATGTGGGTAGCTTCTCGGTTGTTGTGCTGTGTAGTCTGGCAGAAGTTTACTGATCTCTGATATGTTGGTAAACTTCTACCAGACTACAAAATGCTATAACCAGAAGACAGCCATGTTTGTACTTGCTGCTGTGAGAACTTAAAATCCTACTCAATCATTCAGTGGTTAGCTTTTAAAAAACTGTATGGACTGGATTCAACAGCACAACATGCAAGCCTACATCTACGGCTCACAGGGTATGATATCAATGAATGCTTGGTAATGCAACATGTATGACAAGATACAGAACAGTGAATCAGAGAATGTATGAACATATAATATACTAAACAAACAAAATGATGGAAAAAACATCTGCAAAGTGTTTTAATACATCTTAATATTATGTACTAATATATTTCTACAATAGATTTATTGATTATACCAGCATTACCAGAGTTCTTGAATTGTGTTATGACATTTTCTTCATAGAAGATGTGATAGTTATACTGACATCCCCAGCCCCCTCCAGTTTGTAGTGAGAATTGCTCCACAGCAGACATAATGTTAAAAATTCACAACACATGGATCACCACAGCCTCATTTGTAATACCCAGATACACCACACAAAAACTTGAGGTTTACATTAATGTACGACACGCTTTAAATTGGGCCTCCTACCCCCTTAAAATCCACTCCACTATAATATATTTTGATTTGTATAATGGCCTCACCATCAAGAACTTATAATTATTTGCTGTAAAACTTTGTAGATGGGTGGTAATTCTGTGACAGTTTGATATAAAATATGATGAAAATGCTGGAGGTGTCATTTTTGTCCCCTCAATAGACCAACAGCCACAATTACTGATATAAGAATAAAAAAGCATGAATTACCTGGATGCAAGCACAGTCATGGCCTTGTTCTCATTGATCTGATGGATGAAATAGTAACTGTTGAACAACCTTCTCATCATGATCAAGCACCCAAAACACACACCATCCCATATAAGCCCACTATTTTCCTTTGGCACATTGCACTGTGTTAAATCTGTAAGAAATGCATAAATATTTTACTACTTATCCTCATCTGGGAGCCCACAAAAATCTGCTGGACTATTGGAATATCAAAAGGATATTTCAGTGGATCTTAAATTTCTTCTATCTTTCCACTCCGATAGAGACAAGAATGTTTCCACAAACATTAATTGCAGTTTTAAGGCTAAAGCTGTCAATGACAAATGTGGCATAGATACTCGTTGAGCAACTCTAGTTAGAAAACGTTTGGGAGAGCAGCAGAATCTAACAGAACATGAATATTCAACACTGACAATATGAATCCATCAAATTGATCAATCATGAGCTAGTTAAATAAAATTTACAGCTTTACAACCCATTTCCCTGCAAATCAATTTGGAAATTATCATTCAATCTTCAAAGTAATATATTTTTAAGAAATCTCCAACAAAATTCTGTGGGAATTTCTTGACCCTCCCATCTGAGCAAGAGTCCAGTCCACTACAAATCCCAAAAAATATTATGTGGTGTCTACAAAATCCAACAGCACACTTTAAATATGAAATCTAATTAATTAATTCAATAATACAGAATCTTCTTAGAGAACTTTTTCAACTGTTGAAGAAATTACCTGCCATTATGGGTCATCACCATGTTCACTAAACACTGAATACTAGATTTAATAAATAACAAGATAGTTTTTTAAAACAATCAATGAGATAAGTTTGAATTTCTTTTAGCATCTGGGTCCTTTAATTCAAGCAAGTCACTACTCACCCTCAAACTCGGGCAATGATCCGACTGGAGCAGGAAACTTCCTGATGCACGTTATTCCAAGCAACTGTGCAGCCCAGCAAGCATGGCTCTTCACTTCTAGGAGGAACATGCAGCCATGAGTAAAGCTTTGATCATAACTGCCACATTGTAACCCAACAGAGTGTTCCACCACTTCAGGATGTATGGCACAGGTCTCCTTGCCATAGGAACACAAAGGCACCCACCAGGTACCCCAGTGAAAATATGTTAAGCCGGTTTGTGCCAGCCAGAAAAACAATGGCCAGTGTCACCCAGAGGAAGGAAGACAAGAAACACCGCTTTGCAATATCCAGCCATGATCTGGAGAACAGAAGCAAAGTTGGATACTGAGGTCAGTGCAAAGAGTATCAAAACTATGTTCCATAAACACAAACAAACCAACCAACCTGAAGATTCACTACCATGTTCACAAGAACTGACTATCCTGAACTGACTAAAT